AAAGGTTCGATTCAGTGTATATATCTTAACACCTGCGGCCATATGTGTTCCCCCCCTTTTTTTTTAATGGTGCTTAATGATTCCACCGTTTGCAGGTTATTAATGGTGTTCCTTAGGCATCTTCCCCTGGCTCGGATTGTAGAACAGTGGCTTGTTTCACTGTGTTTGTGTTTGTGTCAATGCACGTTTGCGATGGTAGGCACAATGCCTTGTGTAGCTGCAGTTTTCTGGAAAAGACAATCTTTTAGGAATTGTTTTTCAGATCTTAAATAATTTTTTTTCTTTTTTTTATTAGTGAGACATCATGAGGTACAGTTGTAGACTTACAAATTTTGTGCTTGGGTTTCAATTATACAATGATCAAATACCCATCCTCCACCAGTGTGCATTTCCCACCACCACGGATCCCAGTATCCCTCCCACCCCCCATCCTCCCCATCCTACCCTGCCTCTGTGGCAGGGCATTCCCCTCTGTTCTCTCTCCTTTTGGGTGTTTTGGTTTGCAAAAGAGGCATTGAGTGGCAATCATGTTTGGTCTATAGTCTACTTTCAGCATGCTTCTCCCATCCTGGGAGGATTCCCCAACACCCTTGATTTGGTGCTCCCTTTTCTTTAAGTTTCAAAACAAAAATTCACATTTAATAAGATTTTCACTTTCATGCCTTAAGTCCAGTCAAAAGGGTATTGTCTATATAAAAGAAAGGCACACAATTTCTTCGCATCCCCTAGCTTTTATCATGAATTTTTTAAGGTTCTTTAAGGTAGAGTCTCCTGCCCCCGTGCCTGGCTGTCCTCACAGGGGGCCCCTTGGAGGGGAGCAGGTCGAGTTTCCCCCCCCCCCCCCAATCAGGGCTCCGGCAGTCGAAGACCTCCAGAACCAGCCACCACCATGCTGAGACAACTCTCCACATGCATGAAGGTACCGGCAGAGGAACAAAGGCATGCAGGTCCCGGAGCTGAGATCTCCAAGCCTGCTCGGATCAAGGCTGAGCATCTTCCACCCAGATCCTCCAAATTCCAGTAGGCAGGGGTCACACCCACCAACTGGCCCCCTGGCACCGTGTGATCCCATCAATGGCCAAGACCCAGAGACTATAAAACCCAGCTCCCAGAAGACATCTTATTATATCATTCCTACTTTGGACAAACTGGCAGGATACTGAATGTAACCTGCCCACACGGCAGAGTCTGGCAAACTCCCCGTGGCATACCCAATATGCCAAATATCAGTAACAATGATGGGTCTCATTCTCCTAACCCTGAAAAAGCCTTGAATATGGCACCTTTTAAAAAATCTCAGGACTAGAAAAAAGGAGACGTTACTGGGGCCTGCTCAAGGCAATCGACGAATAACAGGATGGTCATGATCGTGATCTTTAAGGTATCAGTCCCACATAATGTCAATGCAAAACCCATAGGTTTTAACAAAATATTGTTCGTGCCTTAAGTACTTGTTTCTGGCATAATGAAAAGTTTCAGAGATAAAATATTTAATACATCTGTACTTCTAGAGATATTTTGAGCAGATCTAATCAGAGATCTCTAATCAGAGAAGTACTCTCAGTAATTTTTGTTTTTACTGTTATTAAAAGTGGAGTCGTGCTCATTATTTTATATCTCAATCTGTACTTTGACATCTTTTGCTTTAAGGTCTGACCTTTTATTCACTTAATTAGTTGGGGGTCTGGTTCTTACCCTGAGACTAGGAGAGCATTTATCCAAACAGTTCTAAAACTGCCCTAGTTGTGAAACTTAATGCTGTTAAAAGGGCAGGAAGTCTTTATGCTCCCTTAGGACAGCAATCACAAAGAAGCAATTTAACAAATGAAAAGGCCTTATTGAAAAGGATCCTTACATGAGCAAAATAGCAAAGGAGACAGAACAAAGGCATCTCTACATGGAGAATATTACAGTCTTTAAGGTCACCTTTGACTACATACTAAGTAGGGGGAGATTTATTCTTGGATTTTCAGAGATGAAAAGAATTTTATTCATGATCTGTGGTTCTGTTCCTTTTAGGTACCTATAAAACACTGGATATTGCCAGAGCAATAGCAATCTATCATGATGTACCTAGATGAGTCATTTACTATGCTAATATAGTGCAATTAGGAGGTAATGAGGGGAAAATAGTTTAGAGTGGTCATCTTTGGTCACTATGTTGCATTGCATAGTACAAAACCACATCCTGAGAACTGTTGCAGGGTTCTTTGCCTGTCTGAAGGTGAAGCAAATGTGTCTACACCCTGACAGTGTCTTCTCAAAAGCGATTTTGTTAGAAACAGTACATGGAACTTTGAGTTCTATGTATCTATGAACAGAAATCTTGAGGACCCCTGATTTATTTCTTTTTTATAATAAAAGGACGGGAGGTATTTAATTTCATAGCTGATATTGCTATCTTGAAGCTAAGAAAGATGATAGATGTTTGTAGAATAATGCCATTTTTAGAGAATGGTAGTGGGAGATGGGTGATGGGCCATGTCTGGCAGTGTCACACCCGCTTATGCTCAGGGCTTACTTCTATCTCCGGGCTTAGATATTATTTCTGTTTGTAGTCAGGAGACCACATGCAATGCCAGGAATTGAATCAGTGTTAGCTACATACAAGAAAAGTACTTAACGCCCCCTATATTATCTCTCCTGTTACAAGGACTACATTATTTTAACAATTAGTGGTTTTGATATAATTGAGGCAAACATTTTTTCTTTTTGTTTAGTGGCCTGTGATGCTCAGGACTTCCTTCTGCTCTGTACTTAGAGACTATTGTTGGGGTACTAGGGATCATTTACAATGCCAGGCTGTTTGTCCCCAATGCCACACCCTGTTTTCTCCTTGAGGTCAGTGAATAGTCGAACCCAGGCCACTACCTCCCTCGCACACATGCCCCAGGTGTCCTCTCGGACCCTGGTCCAACTACCTTCCGCAGGACCTTCCTGTTCATTCCCACCGCCACACCTGGTTTCACCAGATACCCATAGGGGACATGGCCTCTGCAAGAGTGATCATGGCCTCTGCAGAAATGGCTGTGGCCTATTTTGGGGCCGCAGTTATATTACCCATACCCAGTGATCTGGTGTCATATATCAGTCTCCATATCACCACCACAAAATGAAGAAACGGCACAAATTCCCACCACGAGGAGAGGATGATGAAAAGAGTCCAGAAGCCTCAATAGGTATTACTCACAAATGTGAGCTTTCCGATAAAGAATTCAGAGATGAAGTAATGAAGATGTTCAAAGAACTCAAAGAAACAGTGGTATATTATCCAGTAAATTAAAGGAGGATGTGAAAGAAACAATGAATCAATCAAGAAAATACAGGAAGAAATGAAAACAGAAATAGGAAAGCTACACAGAACTGTCATGAAAAAAGAATTCGGTAGATGAAATAAAAAAAACTCACTGTGTACCCTCAAAAGTAGAATGGCTACATCCGAAGACAGAATCAGTGAGCTTGAAGAGGAGTGGCAAGAAACCTACAGGCAACAACAAACAATGGGAAGAGACCTCAAAATAACTCTAGAGCGAATCAGATTCCTATGGGATGATTTCAAAGCAACAATGTTAGAATCATGGGATTACCAGAAGGTCAGGGAATCAATTCCAATGAAAAAGCCAAAGTTACAGAAATCATTGCTGAAAAGTCCAGAGCTGGACAATGCAGGCATCCAGATTCAAGGAACCCGAAGGGTGCCCCCTAAAAGAGACACTAACAAAAAAACTCCAAGACATATCATAGTAAGAATTATGGTTGCCATGGATAAAGACACAATACTGCAAGCAGCAAGGTCAAAAAATGAAATCACATACAAAAGGGCACCCCTTAGCTTCACAGCAGACCTTTCAGAGGAAACCCTCCAAGCCTGAAGGCAATGGTGATATATAGTGAAAAAAAATTCAATGAAATGAATACTTCACCAAGAATACTTTATTCGGTTAAACTCTCACTCAAACTTAAAGAAATGGTACACTATTTTCTGTACAAACAACAGATCAGGAACTTCATAGACTCAAAAACAAATCAAAATAAGGGCTAAAGGAACTACTGTAAGATAAGACAAACCCCTACAAGCACAATAAACCCTTCAGAAAGACCTTAGAAGTAGTTGGAGACTTCAACACCACCTTATCATCTCTGGATACATACAAAAGAGTGGGATCAAATCTCTACCTAACACCATGTACAAAAGTAAGATCAAAATGGATTAAAGACCTTAACATCAGAAATCCATAAGGTACATTGAAGACAAGGTCGGCAAAACCTTCCACGAGATTGAGCGCTAACAGTACCTTAAAATATGACACACAACTGGCCAAGCAAGTGAAAACAGAGATAGACAAATGGGACTATCTTAAACTAGAAGCTTCTGCACCTCAAAAGAAACAGTCACCAAAATACAAAGTCAGTCTAAAGAATAGCAAATGATACAAAGGATATTCACTCATACCCATCCATTAATGGGTTGTTATCAAGCATATACAAAGCACTAGTTGAACGCCAGAGGAAGAAAACATCTAACTCAAAAAAGGGGGTGATGAAATAAACAGTAACCTTCTCAAAGAATATATCCGAATGATTAAAAGGCACATGAGAAAATGCTCTACATCAGTAATCATCAAAGAGATGGAGATCAAAATAACAATGAGATATCATCCCATTACCACAGAGACTGACCCAAGTGTAAAAGAACAACAGCATCCGTTGTTGACGCGGATGTGGAGAGAAAGAGACCAGCCTTCACTGCTGGTAGGAATGCCAACGGTTCAGCCCTTTTGGCAAATAGTATGGACGATTCTGAAAAATTTAGAAATTGAACTCCCATTTGACCCAGCAATACAAGTCCTGGGAATATATCCCGGAGAGGCAAAAAAGTACAGTTTAAATGGCATCTGCACTTATATATTCATTGTTGCAATATTCACAATAGCCAACATTTGCAAAATACCTGAGTGCCCGAGAACAGAATACTCTTTTAAGAAAGTTTGGTACATCAATCTTGCTTCAGCCAAACATATACTAAAATTGGTAAAATACAGAGAAGATACAGGTTCCTGAGCAAGAACGACATGAAAATTCTTGAAGTCTTCCATATTTTAAAGAAACAGACCAAATTCACACTACATGGAGAGGATTAAGAAAGAGTCCAGAATCCTCAACTGGGGTTACCACAAATATGATCTCTATGATAGAGAATTCCGAGATGAAATATTGAGGATATTCAAGGAACTCGAAGAATTAATGGGGTAGACATCCAGAAAATTAAAAAAAGAAATTAAAGAAACAGTGGATCATAGAATCAAGAAAATACAAAAAGAAATGAGAGCAGAAATAAAAAGCTACAAAAAGAAGTATCACAAATAAAGGATTTGGTAGATGTAATTAAAAATTCAGTGGGTGCCCTCAGAATTAGAATGACTAGGGCTGAAGACAGAATCAGTGAACTTGAAGATGAGCAGCAGAAATCATATAGGCAACAACAAACAATGGGAAAAGATCTATAAATAGCTCTAAGGTATATAAAAGACCTAGGGAATGATGCCAAGTAGAACAACATTAGAATCATCAGAGTACCAGAAGGACAGGGAGGCAACCCCACTGAAAAAGCTACAGTGAAAGAAAGCATTGCGGAAAAGTTCCCAGAGTTAAAAAATACAGATATCCATATCCAAGGAGCCAGAAGAGTGCCAGCTAAAATAGATCCTAATAAAAACACTCCAAGGCATATCATAGTCAGAATGATGGATGCCGTGGATAGAGACACAATATACTGTAAGCAACAAGGTCAAAAGGAAATCACATAAAAAGGAGCACCCCTTAGATTTATAGCAGACCTATCAGAGGAAACCCTCCAAGCCCGAAGACAATGGTGGAACATAATGTAAAAAACTCAATTAAATGAATGCCTAACGAAGAATACTTTACCCAGCTAAACTTTCACTCAAACTCATTGGAACCATACACCATTTTATGGATAAACAAAGCTTAGGAACTTCATAGACTTTAAACCAAACCTAAAAGAAGGACTAAAGGGGCTCTTGTAAGACAAGAAGGAAAACACCTATAAACACAACCAACCCCTACGAAAGATGGCACAAATCCCAATGGCAATAATCTCTCTCAATATCAATGATCTAAATGCACCAATTAAGAGAGAAAGAGTGGCAAAATGGATCCAGAAACTGAAACCAGCATTCTGCTGCCTACCATAAACACATCTGAACAGTCAGAGCAAACAAGGGCTCAAAGTTAAAGGATGGGAAAAATCCTGCAAGCAAACAGTTCCCTCAAAAAAACTGAGATGGCCATACTAGTATCCAGCAATATAGTTTTTAGGTTGATAGAGATTAGAAGGGACAGTGAAGACCATTTTCTGTTTAATAAGGGATACGTACAACAGGAAGAAATCACACTCTTGGCTAAAGCCATGTTAAGGGGAAAATTTATAGCTCTGCAAGCATTTCTCTGGAAGGAAGACGTGGCCTACATAAACAGCTTGATTTCACAGCTCAACATCTTTGAAAAGGATCAACAAAAGGAGCCCAAATCAGGCAGAAGAAAAGAGATCATAAAACATAGAGCAGAAATCAACAACATGGAAACCCAAAAAACAATCCAAAAGATCAATGATACCAAGAGCTGTTTCTTTAAGAAAATAACCAAGATTAATAAACCACTAGCAAGATTCACTAAGAAAGAGAGAGAGAGAACACTAATATACCAAATCAGAAATGAAAAAGGGGACATCACATCAGAAACCAATGAAATTTAAAAGATCATCAGAGACTGCTTTGAGAGTCTGTATGCCACAAAATAAGAGAACCTAGAATTAATGGATAAATTCCTGGAATCCTATAATCTCCCAAGAGTGAACCAATAAGACTTGGAGCAAATAAAAAGATCCATTAATATAATGGAAATTGAAACTCTAATCAAGTGAGATTCATCTTTGTGATGCAAGGATGGTTTAGTATTTGTAAATCAATCAACGTAATGCATCATATCAACAAAAAAGATAAAATCATATAATCATATCAATAGATGCAGAGAAAGCATTTGACAAGCTCCAACACCCGTTTATGATGAAAAATCTCACCAAAATGTGTTTGGAAGTAACCTTCCTCAAGATAGTCAAAGCCTTTTACAACAAACCTATGGTACGCATTATCCTCAATGGGGAAAAACTAAAAGTTTTCCCTGTAATATCAGGAACAAGATAACTATGTCCACTCTCACCACTTCTATTCAATATAGTACTGGATGTACTTGCAATAGTGGTTAGGCAAGTAAAAGATGTTAAGGGCATTCAGATAAAAAAGGAAAAAATCGAGCTCTCACTATTCGCAGATGATATGATACTAATGATACTATATCTAGAGAATCTTTAATCCTCTACCAAGAAACTCCTAGAAACAATATATATGTACAGTAAAGTTGCAGGCTATAAAATTAATCCAGAATTCATGGCCTTCCTATACGCAAATAATGAGACAGAGGAAAGTGACATGAAAGAAACAATCCCGCTCACAGCCGTGCCCCAGAAAATCAAGTACCTCGGAATCAGCCTAACTAAGTAAAGAACCTCTACAATGATCACTGTATAACTGAAACCCAAGCACAAAATTTGTAAGCCTATAACTGTACCTCATGGTGTTTCACTAATAAAAAAAGAAAAAAAAAAGAACCTCTACAATGAAAAGTCCAAAACGCTACTCCATGAAATAAAAGAAGACATTAGGAAATGGAATAATATCCCCCTGCTCATGGATAGGAAGAACTAACATTGTCAAAATGGCAATATTCCCCAAAGAATTGTACAGACTCAATGTGATACCTATAAGGATAACAGTGAAATTCTTCAAAGAAATGCATCAATCACTCCTGAAATTCATATGGAACAACAAACGTCCACAAATAGCTAAAGCAATTCTTGGGTAAAAGACCTTGGGAGGCATTACCCTCACCAACCTCAAATTCTACTACAAAGTGGTAATAATTAAAACAGCATAATACTGGAACATAGCACTGGAGCGATAGCACAGTGGTAGGGCATTTGCCTTGCATGCAGCCAACATGACCAACCCGAGTTCGATTCCTCCTCCCCTCTTGGAAAGCCCGGCAAGCTACTGAGAGTATCTCACCCCCACGGCAGAGCCTGGCAAGCTACTCGTGACATATTCGATATGCCAAACACAGTAACAAGAAGTCTCACGATGGAGACATTACTGGGCCCGCTCGAGCAAATTGATGAACAACGGGAGGACCGTGACCGTGAGTATTGGAATAAAGGCAGAGCCGCAGACCAATGGAACAGAGTGGAACATTGTTACACACAACCCCAAATGCATGAAAATCTAATCTTTGATAAGGCAGCAAGAAATGTGAAGTGTAGCAAGGACAGCCTCTTTAAAAAATGTTGCTGGCACAACTGGACAATCACATGGAAATAATGGGCTTTGACCTCGACCTAATACTTTGCACAAAAGTCAGATCAAAATGGATTAAAGATCTCAACATCAGGCCAGAATCCACACGTTACATTGAAGACAAGTTCGGCAAAACACTTCACGATGTTGAGGCTAATGATATCTTCAAAGACGACACTCCAATGACCAGCCAAGTGGAAACAGATAAACAAACAGGGCTATCTTAAATTAAGAAGCTTCTGCACCTCAAAAGATACAGTGACCAGAATACAAAGACAATCTACAGAATGTTAAAGGGCATTCACCAAATACCCATTGGACAAGGGTTTGATATCAAGAATATATAAGGTACTCGTTGAATTCTGCAAGAAGAAAACCTCCATCCCCATCAGAAAATGGAGTGATTAAATGAATAGAAAATTTCTCAAGGAAGAAATATGAATGGCAAAAAGGCACATGAAAAAATGCTCTTCATCACTAATCATCAGGGAGATCAAAACATCTATGAGTTTCCACCTCACACCACAGAGACTGGCAAACATTTAAAAGAACAAAAACAACTGGTGTAGGCATGAATGTGGGGAGAAAGGGACCCTCTTAAACTGCTGGTGGAAATGCAGACTGGTTAAGTTCTTCTGAAAAACAGTATGGACGATTCTCAAAAAAATTAGAAACTGAGCTCTCATTTGACCCAGCAATACCACTTCTGAGAATATATCCCAAAGATATATATAAGTATAGTCGAATTGACATCTGCCCTTGATTTTTCATTGCAGCATTGTTTACAGTAGCCAGAATCTGGGAAAAAACCCAGTGCCCGAGAACAGATGACTGGTTAAAGAAACTTTGGTACATCTACACAATGGAATACTGTGCAGCCGATAGAAAAAGATGAAGTCATGAAATTTACATTCAAGTGGTTCTACATGGAGAGTATCATCCTAAGTGAAATGAGTCATAAAAAGAGGGACAGACATAGAAAGATTGCATTCATCCATGGAATATAAAGTAACAGAATAGGAGACTATAAAAAAGAGTTGAGACAAGTACCCGGAGGTTTTCTCCATGGCTTAGAGGCCAGCCCCATATGCTGGGGGGAAATGCAGCTCAGATATAGAAGGGAATTTCGAGTAAATGGTGTTGGGAGGATCGCCCAGTATGGAAGATGCATGCTGAAAATAGAATATAGACTGAACATGATTGCCACTCAATACATCTATTGCAAACTACAACACCCTAAAAGAAAGAGAGAGAGCAAAAGGGAATGCTCTGCCACAGAGGCGGGCCAGGGTGGGGATAGGATGGGGGTCGGAGTGCTACTGGGATCATTGGTGGTGGGAAATGGGCACTGGTAGAGGGATGGGTACTCGATCATTGTATAACTGAAACCCAAGCACAAAAGTTTGTAAGCCTACAACTGTATCTCATGGTATTTCACTAATAAAAAAATAAAAGAATAATGCCAGCAATAGAACCCAGGTTGGACGTTTGCAAGGAAGTGCCTTACTCATTGTTCTATCTCTCTGACGCTTTAATAATAAATTTTTATGCACAATTAGGTGGTATATATTTTATAAACTATGTTGAGTAGCTTAAATAATTAAATTTAGTATAGAAATACTAATGACCAAGCTTCACACCCTACTGAGGCCATGAGTTGCCCCCCATGAGTG